CTTGATAAAATTATGATTAACACTTCAAAATATTGATGTTGACAAAAAATATTGAAGTTTGACTGTGTATAGGCCACAATTGACTTTTGATCTAGTACAATTGATTTTCAAGCATTTGAGCAATTGACTGAACAAACTTGTAGTGGAAGGCATGAAACTTAGAATGGACAATATTGAAGACATATTAGTACCATGAAAAACATATGAGGCCTTTTTAGTTCACACATCTTGGTGAAAAGTGAAACCCTAGTTACAAGTTCATTGCTTAGGAGGAGAATTTGTCTGGTCAATTCTTGGTCATCCTTGAGCAATTGAAGACCTCAATGAGCATGTCTTGAGTAAAATGCGAGGGAAAATTTTGGGGTACAAAACTTACCATATTTCATATTTCACTTAATTTTATCGTACCTTACGGTGTTCTACAATTCACTTAAGTGTGTCGTACCTTACGGTGTTTCTTATTTAATCTATCTCTCATCAACCTGTCCTTATGTGTGTGACCCTTTAGGTTTTCGTGATGTTGAAAATTATATTAAATCACACATTTAACATAATAAACAGTGAGCGGTATCTAACAATACATCATTGTTGCCCAAGTCACAAAAATGTCATGTGATCTGACAAAACCTTTCTGTGATAATATTTGTGTATACAATCACCTTTTTGCCCTTATGTCTATATTGAACACAAGGCATAAACTGTGTCACCCTTGTCTAGTTTAATATTGGCCCCTCAGACATTCATCCTATTATGCAGGATGGGAAAATTCCATCTAGTTCACTCATGTCCCTCAGCATGCTTTGTAAAGTATCCATCAATTGTCTTTATAGTCATTCAGCTATGAGTAACGTTTGATTAGTAATAAAATACTTAACTCTACATCTTGGGTCCATAGTAGTTTCAGGTCGAAGGGTGGTATACACCATTATCACCATGATAATAACTTATGGCACCTTACATGATATTTCTATGTAATATTCTCATAGCGGGTCAATCTAGTATAAATATTACTCCTAATATTCATACCTATGTCAAGACTTGATAACATCCATGATCCATGAGGTGTAATCATCAGTCTATCTTCATAATAATCACAATACTTTAATATTATCTCATTTTGCAATAAATCTCGACCACAAATACTTTAAGAATAGTGTTCTTATATTTAATGGGGTCTCATGATTAGGTCACACTTAACATATCATTAAACGGACGAAATATTCTAGGGACTTTATTATTTTGGAAAAGCAAACATAATAAAGAAACGCCTTTTATTATTAATAAATAATTCGATACAAGTACCAAAAGTATTGACCTCTAGGACTTATATAAACAAGTAGTAATTGTATAATATATAACTATATTGTTTTATCCTAGAGGCGACGCGGCAGTTCGATTGCTTTGCATTATTTTAGACATTATCGTGAAACGTCTTAAAGAGAGCGATCTAGTCCGCGATTCAACCTAGTAATTTTTCCGGTGACAAAATTTTAAAAATCATAAAACAACATATTACAATTACTCCAAGTATTACAATTTTAGATAATTATGTCTTGTATTTCAATTAACCCATAAAATGTCATTTCCAATATCAATTTGAACACAAACATTATGAATGAAAGTAGGATATAAAACCTAAACATAAAATAAAACATTATGAATGGAGTAATATATACAGCCAGAACAAAATATGATGGTTCCTAAGTCGTCAGAATCTCTTGCAACCAATTATTATTCCATATCAGCGAGTGGGATTTCTGGCCAAGATGGACAAGTTGAGAGGAGGCCAGATTCTGGTAACATAGAACAAGTTGAATCGTCTTTGCGTGAGATTGGTATCTTGAACTATGAGGTTGATTTCATTATTTTCTCTTTGATGATATAATGCATGAATAATATATGATTTCATCTTTCATGTTTATGTTAGGGTTTGTTGAAAATATATATATTGAAGAAGTCTCACATCGTTTATATTTGTAAAGGAAAAGGGGGTATAAGACTATATATAGAATTAAAGTTTTTCCAAGTTCCACGTTGCTTAGTTTAGTGAATGAAGAGGGGGATAAAGGCTATATATAAGATTAAGTTTTTCTTTATAAGATGTACTAGTCAAAAACACTTTAAGCTTGCATTTGTTTTTTTTTAATTTTCTCTTATACTCTTGTTTTAGAATGTTGTGAGAGGTAGTTAAATATTTGCTTTGGAGAATGTGGGTGTATTGCGGCCTTGGGGTGTTTGAGATTAGTTTATGTGTTGTAATAGTTTTCACATAGTGATATTATCTGGTTGTCATTTGACAACAGTCGTAGTTTTTTCTCCGATTTTGGAGTTTTCACATTAATCTCTTGTGTTGTTATTTTGTTCCTCCTTTTTCTCTATGTTTTTTTCCTAACAAGTGGTATCAAGAGCCTTGGTTTAGTGGGGTATAAATTTTAGTATGCTTTGTGATTGCAATTTTGTCTGATCTTCCACATCAGAAAATAAATTTTATACTCTATGTTGGTTGGAAAAATTTTGGTTTGTTGCAAGAAAAGTTTTGGTTGCGATGTCAAGTTTTTCAATTGCAGTGAAGATTGATTTAGAGAATTTTGATGGAAGAATCAATTTTTCCTTGTGGAAAATTCAAGTCTAATATGTTTTGATACAATTATGATTATACAAGGGGTTGAAGGGAAACGTTTCCAAAATGAACAACGAGAAGTGTGAGGAACTAGATTTGAGAGATTCAAGTACAATCCACATCTCTTTCGCTAAGAATATTCTTGCGAATGTTCTTGGTACGTTGTCAGCCAAAGAGCTTTGGGAGAAACTTGAAGGGCTATATCAAGGAAAGGGTATATCAAATCGTTTATTGTTGAAGGAACAGTTTCATAGCTTGCGTATGGATGAACATAGAAAAGTATCTGATTATCTAAGTGTTATAAATGACATTGTTTCTGAATTAGAAACTATTGGAGTCAAGATTGATGATGAAGATAAAGCTTTGAGACTCATATTGTCTCTTCTATCTTTCTGTGAGCATATTAAACCGGTTTTGATATATGGGAAGGAAACTTTGAGTTTTGAAGAAGTTGTTAGTGAAATTATTTGAGAAAGAAGATTGAAAGGTGAGGATAATAGTTCATTAAACTCAGTGTTGGTTGATAGAGGAATGCCTTATGTGAAGAAAAACAATGAAACGGGTGTGAGATGTTGGAAATATGGAAAGATTAGACATATAAAGTATAAGTGTATTGGTGGAGCAGCGTCAGAGAATGGATCTGATTCAAATGCTAGCAATGTCTCTCGCTGTGAGAGAGGATGATCTTGTCTGAAAATTGAGAAGTGTGTCCTCGTGACATTTCCGATGTCAAAGGACGAGTTATTGCTAGTGGATTAACACATGGAAATTGATGCAAAGTGTGTTGTGAGATTATGTCGATGGTTGAAGAGCTTCCTGCCAACATGGAAGTTGCACCATAAAGTTTCAACTTGGTTTTCAACATGCGAAAATTCTTGAAGTGGTTTAACTTCAAGTGAAGTATACTCTTCTTTAGGTGGAGTATGATAGTTTTAAAACTATGATTGTCGGTGAAGATAATGTGAAAATTCTTGGAGTCGTGTAGCTTCAAGTGACTATACTCTTTATGGTGGAGTATGATTGTCGATGAAGACAATAAAAACTTATGTATTATTTTCAATCAAGGTGGAGATTGTTGGGGTTGATTAAAAATATACATGTTAAAAAAGTTCTACATCGCTTATTTTTGTAAAGAAAAAGAGAGTATAAGACTATATATAGAATTAAAGTTTTTTCAAGTCCCACATCGCTTAGTTTAATGAATGAAGAGGAAGCTCAAGGTTATATATACGGTTCAAGTTTTTCTTTACAAGATGTACTAGTAAAAAATAGTTTAAACTTGTATTTGACTTTTTTTTTGTGAGAGAGTTAAATATTTATTTTGGAGAGTGTGAGTGTATTGAGGCTTTAGAGTTTGAAGGTAGTCTATGTGTTCTAACAATTTTCACATAGTGATATCCTTTGGTCGCCATTTGAAAACGGTCGTCATTTTTTCTATGATTTTAAAATATGCATGTTAATTTCTTGTGTTGTTATTTTGTTTTTTTTTTTCTCTATGTTTTGTTTTTTTCTAACAGTTTAGATAAACGGTTTAAGTGATTAAATTCATATGTGTTATCTTTGATAAAATTCTACTTGCTTTTGCTTCAAAGAGAAGCACCAATCTCTTCTTTCTCTTTAGTATGGCATTAGTACTTTGATTCTTCGGGTCAAACACCACAACATATTAAAACAAATGCTAATCAAGATGAGTATATCCTTTGAATTCTAAGGGTTTAATAAATTTAAAGGAAGTTTTCATAGGGTACGCTATTTTCCTTTCTTTTTATTGATTTTTTTATATTGATTATGTCATTTCTTAATTTCATTCTCATGCGCTAATTTTATATTTTTTTCTACTGCTATCATGACAATGAGTGTGTTACTTCTTCTAACCTCTTTGCTTCTTTTGTCTCTTTTATTTATTTTCCCTTTCTTACTGATTTATATCATTCAATGTTTTCTATCTTGTGCTTGTTTTATATCTCTTTGATTCTTAGTAGGATGAAAAAGGTTAAGAAACTAAAGAACCCAACTGAAGAACAAGAAGAAAATCAGATTAATCAAAAGCTGCTTAAGAATCCAAAAGGATCAAGCTTTGCCAGCAAAATTCATGCTGTGTGTGTTTAATGCGTTGCAAATGTTGTGCTCTCAAGGATTGTCAATCCTCAAGGATTTCCATTATTATTGTAATAGTTTTTTAGCCTTTGAGTTTAGGAGTTTTCTCAGTGATGAATATTAAATTAAGGTTAAATATTATTGATCAAAGTATATAATTATAAAACCAAACTAAGTTATTCCATGAACCTTTCAATACTCTCTAAGAGCTACTTTGCATAACCAATGCTATACAAACTTCCACATTGTCTCACTTCTTTAACAAACAAAACCAAATAACATCATGGAATTTTCCAAAACCTCCATGTCTCTTTTGTTGTTCATTTTACTTTCTTGCTCGTATTTAATTTCTCGCATGACACTTCTTCAACGCATTCCATCAACAACAACCTTTCTGCCGAACCAACGAGCAGAAAAGCTCATAAGAAGCCTTAACTTATTTCCAAAGGATCCGGTTAATATAATACGCGATCACTCTTTTGATTTTGTCCCCGGAAAGATTGTAGAGAAGAAGTTCTCCTTTTTTGGTGAAAAGCTTGGTCACCATGTTGGATACTATTCGCTTCCTCGTTGCAAAGCCGCGAGGTAATTAAATTAATAAGAATATTGTATCCGCGCTGCAAATTTTTGTGTGATTTATAATCACAATGCAAGTATGCAATGCAACTGCGGGTTGATGTGTTTGCAGACACTATCGCATTAACAATAATGTAGTCGTATTAAGTGATACCTTGCGCAAATTAATATCCTTATTGTTTTCGTGCTCGACTTAGAAATTTTGTTTCTTTGTTGAATTGTAGGATGTTTTATTTTTTCTTTAAATCGCGAAATAGTGCTAATGATGACCCGGTTGTGATATGGTTGGCTGGAGGTCCAGGTTGCAGCAGTGAGCTAGCTATATTTTATGAGAATGGTCCTTTTCAAATTGCCAATAACTTGTCTATTGTGTGGAATGACTATGGATGGGATAAGGTAATAAAAGTCTATTCATGTGAAATGGTTCGAAATTGCGATTGTGGTCACAGTTGCGGTTATACTGCAAACTTTTATGGTTTCTCATTTTGTAGGCATCAAATATTCTTTTTGTTGATCAACCCATTGGGACAGGGTTCAGCTACACATCTGATGATAGTGATATTCCACATGATGAAAGCGCTGTTAGCAATGATTTGTGCGACTTCTTGCAGGTATATATCGTAGCATTTTTCGCAGTTATAAATCTAGAAGAGTTGCAGCTAGAGGAAGTATATGTTATATATAAATTAAATAACGTTCTTCTTTAATCACAGCAATTTTTCAGTGATCATCCTGAGTTTGTTCAGAATGACTTTTATATTACTGGAGAATCGTATGCTGGACACTATGTTCCTGCTCTTGCTTCCCGAATTCACCAAAGAAATAAAGGCAATAAAGGAATTATTATAAATCTCAAGGTCTTTGATTATTTTCTATTAGCTTTATATCATGAATTTATGACATGTAAACATATGTGTTGGTGTTGTGTCTGTGTCGGACATCATACATGACTTCAAGATAAAGTTTTATTATTTCCTAAATGAAGGATCATAATGTGATTTAAACCCTTGTTTGAAAGGATTGTTAGTTGTGTTGTCTTATAATAATAGGGTTTTGCCATTGGGAATGGAATGACCAACCCGATAATTCAATACTCAGCATATACACAATATGCATTTGATATGAAACTGATTACAAAGCAAGATCAAGACAATATCAACAAGTTGCTCCCGCCCTGTGTGGATGCCACAAAAATTTGTGGTACAACATCTCTTTTAAACTATTATTAACGCGTTTTTACTATTATTGTCAAATAGCAGCTATAGCGTAGTAGTATTTGAAGAAAATGTTTTGTTGTACACTATTCGGTACAAAGTGTTATCAAATAGCGGCTACAACGGTTCTACAATACTAGTTGAATTTGAACAAACTGTTTAGTTCTACTATCTGTGGTTGACGATGTTACTTTGAACAAACTAGTTAGTTACATCTCTATATTGTTTCTCGTTGTGATAATTGTTAATTTGTGTTTGATTTATCAGAGAGTGGAGATAGAGAAAGTTGTGTGTTAGCTTTTGATCATTGTGAAGACATAGTCAATAGTATCCTACTCATTGTTGGCGACATTAATGTTAGTAACCAAGACTAAACAAAACTTGTTTTATATTTTATTTGTATAATATTTTTGTTAGAGTTTAATTAAATGATATATTGTAAACTATAGTTCTTCGACATCAGAAAGATGTGCAAGGGACCGTTGTGTTATGACTTCTCGGACGTGGAGACACTTCTAAATGAGAAGATAGTTAGAGATGCTTTAGGCGTTGGGGAGTTAAAGTTTGATATATGCAGCAAAGTAGTATATCAGGCTATGCATCAAGATTGGATGAGAAACCTCGAAGTAGATATTCCAGCACTTCTTGAAGATGGAATTAAGGTTCTTATATATGCCGGAGAATTTGATCTTATTTGCAATTGGCTTGGTGAGTGAGTCAATCTACTAGATTCTTTTGAAACCAAATTGCTTTACAATTAGAGAAAAACCGGTGATTTACTCGTTATCGTTCGGGCAGGGAATTCAAATTGGGTTCATGCCATGGAGTGGTCAGGTCAAAACCAGTTTGTAACATCAAAAACAGTTCAATTTTTGGTTGATGATGTAGAAGCAGGATTGTTGAAAAGCTATGGACCTCTTTCTTTTCTTAAGGTTAGTCTTAAGAACTGTAAGTGTATTTTTCTTGAGTGTGGCATTGTTGATTCCATTTTTGGTTAGTTATATTTATATTTATGTGTCGTGTAACAGGTGAATGGGGCTGGACATATGGTTCCTATGGATCAACCAAAAGTCGCACTTCAGATGTTGGTAAACTGGATGCAAGGGAACTTGAATGAGACAAGCATTTAATATTACACAATCATGCGAAGGCCAAAATCAAAACATCTTCCGACTTACGCTCTCTAGTTTAGTATAAGCAAAATAACTATTTTCACACTGTGATATGGTGGGAGAACTGACTTGAAGGTTTTGTGTTTGATCGCAAATATTGCGGTTAGCAAGAGTCGCCACCGAATTTTCTTTTATCTAAAAGGAAAGGTGAAAAAGCACAAGAAAGACCTTTGAGATTATTTCTTGAGTTCGGGGGATAGATTATGAAAAGGAAAGGTATTAGCATCATTTTCATCCATGGTTTTCTATGGACTCTTAGTTACTTGCTAGATCACTTACTTTCGTTTGAAATTATGTTTTGTGTGGTTTTTGAAAGTATTTTATAAAAAGACCATTGTTTAGGTAATCATTGTACTGATTCTCGTTCGTAAGAATGTATACAAAGATGTTTGATCTTTTGAAAATATTTTCAAATTTGTAAGATGTTTGGAAGTGTAAGTGTTTGTTTTGAAAATGGCAATGATGTTTGTTTTAAAATTGAGCAAGTAATTACGAGTATTTTACCTACTCAAAAGTCTTTCTTGTTCATTTTCCTTTTTCTTTGACAGTGTTATCTTACTATTGATTTGGTAAGTAACCCTATCTTTGGGTGTAAACGGGACGGGCGTGGGTCATCGTATAACTATGATTAGCAATGTTGCAAGGTATCTTAGCATTCTCTTTTAGGGACTAAGATCATTTGAAAGACAACTTAGATAACGTCATCAAGGGACTATGATCTTGTATTTGCTTTGTTTATGCTAAGATACCCTACATGCGTAATATGACCATTTTGTATAAGGCAACCAAGTGGAATAACCCTAGGGGTGCTTGTGTGCAAATGTATTATTTTCATGCTTGTTTTTGTCTTGAATTAGAGTTTTTAAGTATTGGTTTTAGTCTTTCCATACAAATCCTAATTACTAGCATGTTATATATAAAAGCGATAAATTGCGGAATTTAAAGTTACTACGCTATTACAACATTTGTGGGGATGTAAACCTAATTAGTCTATTACAACCATATTAAATGGGTATCAATATACAAGGAATTAAATGAATATAAGGTACGAAAATGAATAAATGTACAAAAATGCAAAATGTGAAGTAAATGGATATTTGTTTGATTTTCATGAGAAAAAGGGAAATTGTCTTAACCTAATTAATTAAAGAAAATAATTAATTAAACTTAGATTAATTAAGAAAAGATTTTAAATAAAACCCTAGTTCTATTAATTGATTAAAAGAAAATAAATTTAGAAAAAATATTTTTTGGTATTTTTGTCTTGAAAATATTTACAGCATTATAAAAATATTTTTGGCCTTTTTTATATTAAAAAAATATTTTAATTGGTGTAAAAGAAAATAAGAAAATAACTTAGTTTTAATTAAATTTACAAGATAATAAGTAAAAATAAATAAGGTGTAGTTAATAAAAATATTTTTTGTGAGAAAAATAAAATAAACTAAGTTAAAATGAAAATCTAATTTTTTTGTATTTTTTATGATTTTTTTTAATATTTAGAAAATATATTAAGAAAATAAAAATGAAATAAAAAAAAGAAAATAAATAAACTTGGGCCAGGGTGCAAATAGCCTGCAGGGGGGTTAGTAAGCAAAAATAAAAATAAAAAACAAAACATGCCCAACAAAGCCCAAGCGCCTGCAAAAATCAGAATGGTACAAAAATATGAAGAAAAAAAACAAAAGGGTATCACTGGGGCTCGAACCCAGGTCCCAAAGGTTACAGGCGCACGCTTCTACCACTGTGGTGGCTATACATCAGTTAATATAAGCAAATCAATAAATATACAAGGTAAAATGCGCCCTGATGACTTCATCTTCAGCCTCCAGCCAGACCAACTGTAACTTGCTCATTTCTCATCAAAAATGAAAACTGTAAACATGAAACTTGTAGCAAATTTTCTCACGGTTTCAGAAATGTAAAGCACTAAAGTTATATATCAAAGATAAGCGTGAATTTTAATGGCCCTAATCTGAACCCTAAAAATCTCAAAAATTTCAGTTTCAAAATTCTCTAAGCTCAAGCAAAAGTAATGGAAACTATGGACATGGTTAGCTTTAGGACAATGATATTTACATGTTTTATTCACAAATAAATCATTGATGATGCCTGTATGAAGAGTTCCAAGTTAAGAAAACTTACCCCAAAATTGGAAATCGTTTTTTGAGTTTGAGCTTGTTTCAAGTGATGGTGGTGATCAGGTTAGCTTCCTTGAGGTCCCAGGAAGCTAATGCAATGATTAGCTTGAACAATGGATGGCTGAAATGGTCTGGAGAAGTCAATATGCAGAGCTGAGTTTTTGAAAATGGAGGATGGTGTTAATGGTGTTACAGTTCTGTAACAGAGTGTGGGATCACTTCTATATGATGTTTAGAAACTTTAGAAACCAAAAGGTCAAGAAACGCACGACTAGATTATGAGTTTCAAGTTTTTGGTCAGTTTGTGTGAAAATGGAAGTGTGAAGTGTGATTCTGAGTTCTAGGTTCTTTCAAAGCTTGAGCATTCTTATTTTTGTGTCAAATGGTTTGTGTATGTATAAACAAAAGTGTTTGAGTGCATTGACAAGTTAGAAGTACAAGTTCTTAGCTTTTGGCTAGGTTACTTGATTTTGAAGAAAAGAGGGAAACAAGTTTCAAGAAGAGGTACAAGCATGAGATGGATGATTGTAAGTGTTTGAAACATTTCTCATGAGTTATAGGACCTGTTTGATCATAAGAGAACAAGTGCAAGACTCAAGAACAAGTTTTGTAAAAAAATCACTTTATCAAAATGGCAATGTAACATTTCTTCCAAAAATGGATATAAAATATGTCCATGCATTGAATGCTTGAAGTGAGGCATCTAACAGATGTGTAAACCATTAATTATGGAGTGTCTAACAAGTTTGAGGCCTGCAAAGTAGTGTTTATGCAGCATAGTTTGAACTTGAATTTTGTTCATCACTAAAATGACTTGTAATTAAAGTGATAAAACACTAACTTCATCTCTTCGATTCTCCCTACTCAAGAATGATCTCAAGGAGTTCTTGGACATTTTTTAAATCTTGTAATGTGCTCTAAAACTCATCTTTTAATTGCTTTTGGAGATTACCCTTGGAACTATATGAAAAAGTTCCATGAAGTTGGGTCAAAATCCTGACCAAATTAGGGCAAAATTTCACTAAGTGTTTAGTTTCATGACCACATGTTTATAAAATTATAACTTGAGATACAACCACTTTTGGAAGGATTTGTGTAAAGAAAAGTTGTATTTCATGGAGATCTACAACTTTAATGTTGGAAGTTTCTCTTGAATCAACTTGCATCATGGTGAAAATTTTGCTCAAAGTTATGAAAAAACATGAAATTTTCAACACTTAGAAAAATTTCTAAGTTTAGAAATTTTGACTTTTCAAAATGAAATCTTGACTTTTTGATTTGAAATTCTGGAAGCAGATACTTAATGTCACAGTGAATGTTATGACACCGTATCTGACACACTTCAAGACAGTAAATTTAAAAGCAGTAAAGAACACAGTCAATTGTTTACCCAGTTTAGTGTGTAACAACACCTACTCTGGGGGCTACCAAGCCAGGGAGGAAATTCACTATAAGAGATATTAATTCAGGAATAAACCAACCATTTTATCTCCTTCACTTAAGACCTACCCAATGCAACTTCAATCTAAGTTCAACTTAAACCTGAGTTCCTACTCACTCCCCCTCAATCACAGTAGTGATACTAAACAATTGATTAATGAAATTATGAAGACACTCTTCAGTACATACACTTGATTTTGCTTCACAGCTTTAATCAAGTGACAATCACTCGTGCTTCAAAGCTTTGAGTGATACACAACTCTAACTTGACTTTGCTTCAAAGCTTTAATCAAGTGACACAAACACTCGTGCTTCAAAGCTTTGAGTGATACACAACCCTTACAATCAAATCCTACTCCAAATCACTTATCACAGTGATAATTGCTTGGCTCACAGTAGTTACAACTATACAATCCCTTATTGATCTTCTGTCAAAAAGTATCCTCGCCAATAATCTTCATGAGGAATATATAGGCAGGCTATTCTTCAGTTAGGTCTTCCGCGAAAATAACTAGGGTTAATTCATGTTATCCTTAAGACTTGGTCTTAGGCTTTCATCAACCAGCTTAGGGTTAAGCAAGGTTAACCTAATGTCCACGTGAGCATCTGATCTGGACTGTATACAACAACATACCAGATTCCTGAAAAATCTCAGGAATAAAAAATCTGCACAAATGTTAGATCAGTACATGATGTCTTAACATTGGTTATGACAACAAGAATCATGTTCACTGATTTTGGTAGAATGCAATATGATCATTGCTTAATGATCATGCTCATCACTCATATTGAGTAGCTCCTGTATGACATTATTTTTCTGCAGAATGTACCTTTATCCCAGAATGTTATGACATCAGTCATGATATTCACAAGTCTGGTTTTACCAAAAAAATGCCAACAAACAAACACTTACAAACTCCCCCTTTGGCAAATTTTTGGCTAAAACCCCTAACCAATCAGAGATTAGAAAGCAGCAGAATTTTTTTTACTAACAACTACCAATATCTAATTCTACCAAAATTATCATAATTTCTTCTCCCCCTTTTTAGCCATAAAGAGGCCAAAGATACTTGTACTTTTAATTTATACAGTCATCCAAAAGGAATAAAAAAAACACAGAAATAATAAAAGTCATTTGGCAGCAACAGGTTCCAGCAGCAAACTTTTCAACAACACTGATCTTCAGGCACTGTCATCTTCCTAGGTAGCACTATCTTCAGCATTATGCTGGTCTTCCCTTCTTTGTCCTTCATTCTCCTCCTGTTCTAGTCTAGCAATCGGTCCTCAAGAGTCCTTTTTCTTGTATCAAGCTCTTTGTAGGTTTCTTTTAGCAGAGCTATAACATCAGTTTTCTTGGAATGAGATTTGACAGTTGAT